TGTCTTGTATGCTAAGTATGCCAATGTCTTAATTGAAAACGTAAACTCGTTGTAAAAAGCAAAATCTGAAATCTGAAACCAAACTGCATATACTCTATGCAATCTATTGAACAACACTACCACCGTGAGACTGAAGAACAAAACTCAAATGGATGCAAACTGCTAGTGAAGAAAGACGCCATGTTAGATTCACTTGATGCCAGGGAACGTAGCTACGATAACAGTGCGAATGGTATTAATTTCACGATCAGAAAGGTGAATCTTATGTTTGTTTTCATTGTAGTTGTATGGATATTCTTTTTTAATAAATACATGATCCAAAATCCCGTGTTTTTTGTGTATAATGTTATTATGTCAAGTATTGTTTACGCAATTGTCTTGTCACAGGCGACCCAAGGTCACGTTTCGAGAAAGAGCCGACGATTAATTCACGAACGCGTCACGCGTTGTGTGACTCAGAGTAAGTTATTCTAGGAACCGTTGAAAATTTGAACACGTTATAAGGAATAGTATAGGGAACGAAATATGGTCGATTTACAACGATAAGTATTTCGAAATATGAAGATTTTTCTCGAAAAATCAATAAAACTTACTCATAACCTGTGTATCCGTTGTAGTTTTTTGGCGCTTGTTGCCGTTTTAAGCTTGCTTTACCATCACTATTATTCACGTCATCTACTTTTATTACATTGGTAAAATCTGTACAGACATCACACCAACCAACTCGCGCGCAAAGTAAGAAGACTATGTTGAAGGCTTGAAATTATATTACGATCGATTTTCATCAAGAAATGGGCCAGGAATTTTCCACAATAGTGCAAATAATCGTGAAGGCTGATCGCGGAAAAGCGATTGCGTGACGCTCGGTAAGCTGTAAGATGACATGTTATTATATATCAGACGTAAAAACTCTTCAGATTCTCAGTCTGCATTTTGTACCCACTCTGCAGTCTATATTTTGTATCCGGTCTGCAGTCTGCTGTCTACATTTTGTACTAACAGGTATCCGTGGCACAAATACAGTTTATTTTTGGTTACATTTATTCGCACAACACACATAATCTACCACAAAATACCTGTCTGTGAGGTAATTCGACATTTTCATTCTTTCCCGCGTTAATAATCTTCTTTCCTTTTGTAAGAATGTAGACCACTTACAATGTTTCAAGTAATCCACCCACCCTAGAAAAAATAACTCTTGCATGCATAGCATGCCTATGTTTTGAGACAGGTGTATGCCCTTGGCCAGACTTGAGCTCACTATTTCAGTATACTAGTCCGACACGCGTAGTATCACTACACTTGATTCCACGGATCCAGTACCATCCAGGTATCCCAGTTACCCTGCTCACAGGGTCTAGTTTTTTTTGTTTTTTTCCTCCGCCACAAAATGGAAAAATTGCGCAATAGTACCCAGTGGTCATTGGGCCCTCAACACCATGACAACTAACTGTGATCCAATGAGGGTGAAGGTGTTCATATGCTGATCACGTGTCATCATGATGATGATTGACGTTGTCATGCACGGACAGGTCCGGGTCACATGACGAACACGAGATTTTTGCTTATAAAATTCTCTCGTCATTCATTACGCATTTGTTGTGGAGTTGTCGTTTAAATGATGGAAGTTCTGCGTTTTTGGGTTACGATTACTTGGAGTTTCACGGTGCAAACGGCCAAAATACTTACAGACGCCTACAGAAGTCGTATTGTTCGCGGCCAATCCACACAAAAAGATGTTATTGAGCGGTATTTATGGAACGGATTGAGTCGCGAACGCTTGAAGGCCATGAAAGCCTTATATGCTTTGATAGCCATGAAAGCCTTGTGTGCTTTGTATGCCAAGTATGGCAATGTCTTAGTTGAAAAACCTACACTTGTTGAAAAAAGAAAAATGCTCAATCTGAAACCAAAGTGCATATACTCTGTGCAATCTATTGAACAACACTACTACCGTGAGACTGAAGAACAAAAGTCTAATGGATGCAAACTGCTTGTGAAGATAGACGCCATGTTGGATTCACTTGATGCGAAGGAACGTAGCTACGATAAAAGTACGAATGGTATTAATTTCACGATCAGAAAGGTTAATCTTATGTTTTTTTTCATTGTAGCTGTATGGATATTCTTTTTTAATAAATACATGATGCAAAATCCTGTGTTTTTTGTGTTTAATGTTATTATGTTATCTCTTGTTTACGTAAAGTTGTTGATTTCTTCAACGAATGCTGCCTTGAATAGCTTCGATGAATGTAAGGTACTTGAGAAAACTGCTCAGTTATCTGTTATTGTATATGATGATAAGCTTAATGATAGCAATGATGAAACATTTTCATTAAATACAGTTTGCAACTGTAGATCTCGATACGACAAATTTGATTATTTTAATCGCCCACGTACGCATGGTATACGTGTTCGTAGTCGTGAGCCCAGCAGAATACCAAAGAAAAGAATTACACGTATTTTGAAGAAATCCAGGAAAGTAAGACGTTTACTTCGAGCCTACGTCAGAAAAAGCATACCGAAGTCTTCCCGAATGCATCTTCTTAGATATATAGTTGGTGAAAAAATATATGCACATGGAATCAGATGTGAGAATAAAGGAACAACGAAATATCCGTCTTGTGCAGTTAGGAGAAAATATCGAAAGTCTAACAAATACAGGATACTGGAAATGCGAAACCAATATCCACATGTAATAAAAAGTCCAAAGCCAAAGCAGTTGAATGCATGGAGGTCTAATTCAGTACCAAATGTTTATAAAAATCTGAATCACAGGGTAAATCATTTTAAGTCCAATCTGTCTGGGGATATAGAAAAAAACCCTGGTCCTGTTATTAATTCTACTAAAACAATTCAAGCTCCTTACAGCCAAGACAATGTGGCAATGTTTGGGTTAAATGCTGGTACACAGTGTGTAGCCATGTCACTTGCTTCCCTCATATATAACAAGAGGAATGGTATTGTATCCTCAATGGACTTGGTTAATATCATGAACATTGGAAATGAATTGTATTCTGGTCTATCTAGTCTATCCAGGCAATCCTATTTACTGTTAACAGAAGTACCTGAAATGATAATAGTGTGTGATATTACTTATCAGCTTCAATATAGTCCAAGCTATACTGGTACTATACATGGTACTTGTGAAGTACAAGATTTTAATTATTGTATGTCATTTGCTAATGCTATGGAGGCTTTGCTGGGACAAAATTATAATTCATTTCTTTTAACAATGCTTAGTACTACAGTAGGTTTTTACTGTAATGGTGATGGTAAGTTTAAGATATTTGATTCTCATGGTAGAGATCCATATGGTATGCCCCATCCTCAAGGAACTTGTGTACTGTTAGAAGTTAACACCTTAAATGAGCTGATAGACTATTTTCAAGGTCTTTATCAAAATTCAAATGTTTTATTTGAACTCAAAGGTGTACATATTAATGAAAAACAATGTGATATGACAGACATTTCTGACCAACAGTTGTCAGCTATTCCCATCAAACCAAATCATGCAGATGCTAAAATTACAACCAATCATATTCCCTTGTTATGCTGTTGTGCCACATCTTTTTATAGCATTTGTTTTTCCATTATCAAATATTGTGGGTATTGGAATTCACAGACCCTAAATAGAATCACTGACCATGCTAACAAGTTTTATAAAGAAAAAGTCAATGGCGATAATCATCCACTGACTATCAACAATTTCCCAAGGACCCTTCAAATATATGATGCAGATATTAATATTGCCTTTAATTTGGAGAAACAAGGAATACTATGCTGTACATCACTTGGTAGCAAATTATCGCTTCAGAAGTTAATCACAGATAATACTAAGGATAATACTGGGTTTTTAATGTGGGTTTCAAATTATTGCTTCGGCTGTATTTTTCAGCACAACAATGTGAAGACAAAAGCAAAAAGTGTTAAGTACTATATTATAAGATTCAGTCCTAAGGGCACACTTGATATATTTGAAAAAATTAATGACATAGATTTTCTTATTCAGTCATTAATGGATATTGTAAAAAAACAATTCCAGAGTAAAGATGTAGAGTATTGTATTAAATTTATATGTTGTTCATCTAATTTGTCAAATGCTGGAAGACAAAAGGTAATGGCAAAACATAAGTCTCATGGTCAGAGAGAACTAGGAGCAAAAAGGAAAAAAGAAAGCTATGCACAAATGGAACCTGCCATGAAAAAAAAAGTTTTGTCTGATAAAGCAATGTGGTACAAGTCACTGGATCCTGCAGAAAAAGGAAAGCTTTTATCTCACAGAGCTGAATGGTATAAATCACTGGATCCCAAAGAAAAAGAAAAGCTTTTATCTCACAGACCTGAATGGTATAAATCACTGGATCCCAAAGAAAAAGAAAAGCTTTTATCTCACAGAGCTGAATGGTATAAATCAGTGGATCCCAAAGAAAAAGAAAAGCTTTTATCTCACAGAGCTGAATGGTATAATTCACTGGATCCGAAAGAAAAAGAAAAGCTTTTATCTCACAGAGCTGAATGGTATAAATCATTGGATCCCAAAGAAAAAGAAAAGCTTTTGTCTCAAAGAGCTGAATGGTATTGGTATCCAAATCAGCAGATTGGTATCGGCAGAAAAACAAAATCTTTTGTCTAGCAGAGCAATTTGGTATAAATCATTGGATACTGCACAAAAACAAAAGAGAGCAGAATGGTTTAACTCCCTCAATTCTGCACAAAAACAAAAAAGAGCAGAATGGTATAAGTCATTGAATCCTGAAGAAAAAGAAAAACTTTTGTCTGGCAAAGTAGAATGGTATAAAACACTGGATCCTGCAGACAAAGATAAGATTATATCACAAGTCCAAGCTAATAAGGAAGCCCATAGAAACTCAGTTCAACATGGTTTAGATCATAAGATAACAGCTTTTCAAAGTAAAATTAGGGAAGGTCCATATTATATTTGCTCTGTTTGTAACAGAATACTATACAGAAAAACTGTTATCCAGTTAAAAAAACAAATGTACAACACTCAGCAAGAACTGTTTACTGACATTAAGTCATTTGATGAAAAACAGTACATTTGTAAAACCTGTCACACAAAAGTTTTGAAAGGGCAAGTCCCATGTCAAGCTGTATGTAACAAATTACATGTTGATGAACTGCCACCAGAGTTGTCCATTCTAGAGAAGCTTGAACAGATTCTCATAGCACAGAGAATAGTGTTTGAAAAAATAATAGTCATGCCCAAAGGTCGACAAAGAAAGATTAAAGGTGCAATCTGTAATATACCAGTTGATTGTGATCAAACATGCAATATATTACCACGTCCCCCAGAACGATCTGGAATAATACTGTTGAAACTGAAAAGAAAATTGGAATTTAGAGGTCATGTCTACTTTCAACCTGTGCGCCCACAAGTAGTACTTGATGCTCTCAAGTGGCTAAAGACTAATAATCCCTTATATAGTAATATAGGTGTGGATATTGACAATATTGATACAAATCTCACAACTTTGCAGCAAAATGAGAATGTTTCAGAGCAGAATCCAGTTTTGAATACCATAGGTGGTATGGGTAATACCACCTATAATGAGCCAAACCCTAATGGTCAGAACACACCACCTGATAATGAAGCTGTGGATAATGATGTTACAATGACCAATATGGGTAATACTACCTTATCACGTGAAGATAACAGTGATGATGATAACACACCTGATGATGAAGAGAAAGATGACCCTTTGAATGAGCATAGAGCACCTACAAATGAAACATGTTTTCAGTCTCTAATACCAGATTACCCTGTAACCGTTGAACAAAATAATGAGGTATCGTCAGGAAATGAAATTTATAATATCGCTCTAGGTGAAAACAAGCACCCTGTATCATTCATGATGGATAAAAATTGTGAAGAGCTAGCATTTCCTGTACTTTTTCCAAAAGGTCAATTTGGATACACTGTTGAACGTGAAATGAAATTGTCACCAGTGAAGTATTTCAATGCGAGATTGTTACATTACAGCGGAAGATTTGCAACAAATCCAGAGTATCTCTTCTTTGCACAGTTCATCATAGAACAGAGGAAAGTCTCAGATAGTATCAATGTTGCTTTGAAAAAAATTCATGGCCAGTCCCTCACTGCTTCTCAAATAAGATCTGATGCACAAAGTTTACAAAATCTCATTTTTCAAGATCAAGCTTATTTATTTTTGAGACAAATACCAGGTACACCTCCTTATTGGCAAAAATTCATGTATGAAGTAGTAGCTATGGTAAAACAGCTAGGAATACCAACTTGGTTCATGACATTATCCTGTGCTGACCTCAGATGGCCTGAGCTGTTTCAGATTATTGCTAGAACACAAGGCAAAAACCTCACAGATGAACAAGTTGATGCTTTGTCATATTATGAAAGGTGTTCCATGCTAAATCTCAATCCTGTTGTTGTTGCTAAACACTTTCAGTACAGAGTTGAAACATTCTTCACTGAAGTTCTACTAAGTACAGCAAATCCTATAGGTAAAATAGTGTATCATGCACTTCGTATTGAGTTCCAGATGAGAGGCTCCCCTCATTTACATGCATTGATATGGACTTCTGATTGTCCCAAACTAACATCTGAGACCAAGCAAGAATATATAGACTTCATTGATCAACATGTGCATGCCTATCTTCCTAATCAAGACCAGGACCCTGAGTTACATGACCTAATCAAAACTTATCAAAAGCACAGCCATTCTAAGACCTGCAGGAAATATAGAAATGTTAAATGTAGATTTAATTTTGGGCAATTTTTCACAAACAGAACAATTGTTGCAGAACCTATTTCTGATAATTCTGATCTAGAGGTAAAAAAAAATACCATGGATAGAAGAAAAGAAATCCTTTCATTAGTCAAAGACAAAATTGATGATGTTCTAAACCCAAGCAAGTCAAATTATGATTCTACTTTGACTGAAGCTGATATTTTCAATTCTGTAAACATTACTGAAGAGCAATATTACTGGGCCTTATCTATTTCATCTGACTCAGGCTATGAACTGCACCTCAGAAGACCAATAGACAGCTGTTTTATTAACAATTACTTCATTGCTGGTATAAAGGGATTTGCAGCAAATGTTGACTTACAGCCTGTCTTTAATCACTACAAGTGTATTACTTATGTTTGTTCATATTTTACAAAAGACGAAACTGAATGTTCACAGGCTATTATGAATGCAGCAAAGGAGGCTAAGAAAGAAAACCTGAGCATCAGAGAAGGTTTAAAGAAAATCGGTGCTGCCTTCCTCTCCACTAGAGAAGTGAGCTCACAAGAATGTGTTTATAGATGTATGCCTGAACTATGGTTGCGAAAAATCTTCCCAGCAACAGTTTTTGTTAACACAAACCTACCTGAGAAAAGGATACGTGTCACAAAATCACACCAAGAGCTTGAAAACCTGGATGATGAAAGTACAGATATCTTTAAATCTAATATCATTGAAAGATATGCTATTAGACCACAAACTATTGCATCAGTAGATGAATTATGTCTAGCTGAGTTTGCTGCATACTATTACAAAGATTACAGGAAAGACTATCAAGAAACTGGTGATGCTCAGCCTGAAGTTCTCACCGATCATGCTATTGAAGTACAACACAATTCTTCTGATTCTGATCTATGTCTTCCAGACAAAATAAGACTGATAAATACTAATGAGGTAATGAAATGTAGAAAAGTCAGAGCTGTTATAAGGTACCACAAGCCAAACAAAACAAAGGAGCCTGAATTATATTTTCATCACCTGTTGATGTTGTACTACCCCTGGAGAGATGAAACTCATCTTCTAAGCACTGATAAAACATATGCTTCCAAATTCTTTGAACCTGCTGTACAAGCTGTAGTAGAACAAAACAGACAAAATTTTGAACCTGATGGAGATGCCCTAAATGAAGCACTTGAATATTTAAGAAATAACCACAACAACATCATTCACTCCTATGATTCTCTCAATGATCAAGAAAATGCAGACTTGCATTCACAAATCCAAGATGAATTGACACCTGAAGAATCATTTAATAGCCAGTCACCTTCACATCTTGCTTCAACATCTAGTCAAACTGATCAACATTCAAATATAGGAATAACAACTTACAACCAACCTGCAGAAATTTCTGATGACCATCTGCGACAATGTGTTAGAACCTTGAACAAAAGACAGCGGTATGCATATGACATTGTTCTAACTTGGTGTAGAAATAAAATGAAAAATATGAATAGTCTGAAACCTGAAGAAGTAAAACCGATAAATCTATTCATTACTGGTGGAGCTGGTGCAGGAAAGAGTCACTTGATCAAAACAATATACCAAACTGTCACAAAAACATTTAGACATGCTCCCATGAATCCTGAATTACCCACAGTTCTTTTAATGGCACCAACTGGTGTTGCAGCCATTAACATTGATGGAACAACAATAAATACTGCTCTTGCAATTCCTGTACTAACTGGTGACAATGTACCTCCAATGTCAGACCAAAAGAGAACACAGATGAGATTGTCATTATCTGAACTAAAGTTGATTGTCATAGATGAAATCTCCATGGTTGGTAACATCACTTTACTTCATATCCATCAGAGACTAAAGGAAATTTTTGGTACTTCCAATTCACAGATGTTTGCAGGCATAAGTATAATAGTTGTTGGTGACATGTACCAATTACCACCAATTCATAAAAGAACTGTCTTTGATGATTTCAAAAATGATGTGTTTAATCTATATCACCCATGGCATCTCTTCACAATGATAGAGCTTGTTGATATAATGAGACAGAAAGATGATCAACCATTTGCTGAACTTCTTAATAGATTCCGTACAGCAAGTCAAACTGAAGAAGATATCCAGTGCATTCAGTCTAGAGCAATAGATCCTTCTGATAATAACTACCCCTCAGATGCTCTTCACATTTGGGCTGAAAATACTCCTGCCAATCAACATAATGACCTTAAACTTGAACAAATACCTGCACCTTTATTTCATTTGAAAGCCATTGATCAGTATCCTCCAAATGTCTCACAACAAGACATTGATAGAGTTTTGGCCAGACCAAGATCTGAAACAAGTGGACTTGATTCTGATATCTATATCAAAGAAGCTGCAAGAGTCATGTTAACAATGAATATTGATATTGCAGACAGACTAATTAATGGCCAACTGGGAACTGTTGTTAGAATAGAGGTAAACCAAACTAACCAAAAACCTACTGTTATCTATATTAAATTTGATGATGATAAAGCTGGCAGCACTTTAATTCAACAGAGTAGTAACCCTTTTGTCAGACAAAATAAAGTTGTACCAATTCAGCCTGTACTAGCAAAAATCAAAGTAAGACCAAATAAACCATCTTCTCCTGAAATACAGAGAGTACAATTCCCTTTCACACTAGCCTATGCTGTAAGCATCCACAAGGTACAAGGTTTATCACTCACTAATGTAGTTATTAGCTTTGAGTTGATCAAACAGAGATCATTCAACTATGGTCAAGTATATGTTGCCTTAAGCCGAGCAACCTCTTTGAATAGTATTCATGTTCTTGGAACACTTAAGAACAGGCATGTGAAGGCAGATCCTAGGGTACACAAGGAATATGAAAGACTGAGAAATGTTGCATCTCTTACTATGCAAACAAATGAAAGCATTCACGACAATGCAGTTTTAACCATATGTTTATTAAATATAAGATCTCTCAAAAAACACAGCATTGATATCAAATGTGACTCAAACATCATAAACAGTGATCTCATAGCTTTGACAGAAACCCACCTCCAGCCTTACAATGATGACAGTGGAATAAAAAATGATCTACATCCACTCAGACTGTACAGACAAGATCACCCTACTGATAGGTATTGCAGCATAGCACTCTGTACAAGAAACACTGTACAAGCAATTGATCTTCAGTACTTTCCACAAGTGAATGGGATAAAGTTTACAGTTATTAGCAATACCACACAACTTAGCAGTGAAATGCTCATACT